GGAAAGAAAACAGGGAAACTGACTCAGGTGTACTTCAGATTTAGAGTATGCAAGTTATATTTGCTTTTATTAGCAAAGCAATCAAATTTTTATGTCACTGCATTATAATCCAGTATTATATTGATTAAAAACCAACAGGCTGTGTGCCCTCTGAAAGGCTCACCAGCTTATATAGTTACATTCATTATTATTCATTAAGCAGCTTTGTAACCACGTTGAACAAGGCACATTTAACTTTAAAGCACAAACTGTAAACAGATGTAGGAAAAAAATTCCAGAGAGTGCATTTAGTTTCCTCTCCTTTTAATATATTAATTCAACCTTGTAATACTTTTAACAATATCACTGTACCCATCTTTTGATTATCACAGACAAAGTTTTTCTATTCTCCAGTTTAAATATTCTTTTCAGCTCCATACTTAGCATGTGAGTTTTTCAAAACCAGTGTCTCCTCCACAGAAAAGCATCACCTTCGTTCACAGAACTACATCAAGAGTTAAAAATCCTCCAGGTACATGCGTGGGTGAATGTGCACACCAACCCAGCATGTGAACTCCTCTGTATAGATCCTCACATACAAACCCTCCTGCAGAACATACACAATTCATGTGCACACCTGCAGATTTACTTCAGAGCCACCTCAGAAGACATCATGGACAACATGTGTTTTGCTTTTTATAAACTTATTTTCAATAAGTATTTAAAGCTACTATTGGCAGGGAGTTTGCACCATCTTTCAAACAAATTTGTGGCTCCAACATTCATCACACCATTTTCCAAACAATCTTAACACCACTGACAAACCAAACCCTGAACATTCCTACCTTGCTCTGTCCCGTTAACACAAACTTTGAGGTTGACGTAGGCACAGGCTGGACCAACACACTGACACAAACCACCTTTGACAAGCGTAATTTCTAGCTCGGATCCCTTCAGCTGAAAAGAGAGGAATATTCTGATTACTTGAATATTGTTTTATTAAACAAGCACAATAAAATATTTTCCTTAAACAAACAGCATTAAGATTGTCTTATTATACTAAACCAGGACAGTCACGTTTAGTAGATGGTCTTTGGAAAAGTCACAGTCCAAAGGGTGAACAGACAGACTTGGAAGTGCCACTCTTTGCCGAGCTCCTATTGCAAACGAGGGAAAGATGCTTAGGGAGCAGCAAATCTCATTTTGTGTTTACCAAATTCTACCAGCAATTAAAAAATCTGTTTTTCAAGTAGCTGCTTTTCCTTCTCAGTATTTTCTGAGCAACTGCTGGGTTGTTTTTTTTTTGTTATCTCTCAGAGCAAGTCTGAGGACTCCATAATTAAGGCCTTGTATCAAAATCCAGTCCAGGATAATTTCACAGAAATACTGATGCTGAATGTAATCAAAATACTTGTAGAAAAGACAGTCTGCATTTCATTTTTTTATCCCAGTCTTCACATATATTCAACATCATGCAGACTTCTGTTATTCCTTTTAATAACTTCCAGATATTTCGTGCAATGATCCTGTCACAGTTAACTTACGAACTCACGTGTGGAATGACACAGTTTGTCCTTTTAACCTGCATTACATCTGAAAGTGCGTAATGGTCACTGTGTGGGATTTGCCACGTCAGTGCTGCTTACCAACCCCCACCAATTGAAGACAGCTGATGCATAATGCAATTTGAATTCATGTCTTTACAGTCTTTATGCCCAAAACTCCTAGTACAAAATGCAACGCAGTTACAACTAATGAAGACAACTAACCATAGCCACATCTCATGCACCAAACTACAAATTCATGGCACACAGCTGCAGCCATGCTGAACTCTCCACAAAGGGCCAAGCTTGTACCCTGAAAGCATTTCTGAAGAAGAGCTTTTTCATTTCAGATATTTTTATTCACTGCTTTTAATGTGACGAGCTAGTTGCAGCAGAACACGGAGTACAGAATCAAACATCTGCCCTAAGCAATCCCTCTCCAGATCGCAGGAAGCCACTTCTAAGGAAGACTTTACAGTTGCACTAAAATCACAGTCATCTGTGTCTCTCTGCAATCTTTAAAGCCCAAGCATGCGACTAACAGTTCAGAGGCACAGCAAGTCTGTAAGCACAGTAACCAGCTAAATGGACAGAGGCTTTGAGCAACCTGATCTAGTGGAAGGTGTCCCTGCTGCTGGCAGGGGGGTTGGAACTGGATGGGCTTTAAGGTCCCTTCCAATCCAAACCATTCTATGATTCTACGATGAAATGTGTAGAAGGCAACCCACGTGACAAAGACCAGAGATGAACTCCGTGGGGAGGTACTTTGTAGTGACTGAGACTCCTTAAAGTAAATGAATAACAAACAACTCTGCATTTACTTACCAAGATTTTCTTTGCCTCCATTTACGACACAAACTGTACAGTTTCAGCACACAGAACTTGCAGAAACTCCCTGCTAATGTTTTTGTTTGAAAAACCTCCATGCCCAAGATGTGAAGCTGACAGGTAGGCACTCAACTCTCTGGCCATTACCAGATGATTACATTTCTATGAACTGAGTCATCAATTGCAACAGCCACACAGAACTGTCTGTCCTATAGAAGTCTTATTTCAGCAACAATTTTTTAGGTTTCAGGGTCTGAAATCTGACATTTGTGCAAACGCAGAGCCACAAACCTGATTTACGTACTACCTCATGGTTTGCAAAACTGAAGGGATGTCTGTTTATTGCTGAGAAGCAGACAGCAGCTATCAATTATATCCATAATAACCAGCGCCTTCTGGCAGGGCAAGATTTCATCTTTACATAGGCAGCATTATTTAAAACTAATCCAATAGACTCATCTTGCACCTTTCCACAGTGTTTTTCTTCACTAGAATCTGCTAAATTAAGACTTAAAAAACAGAAAAATAATAGCTGGGGGGGAACCACACTTGCACAGGCATGAGAGCTTTCACAGAAAGACACAGCGGCCAACATTAAAGCTCACATACTAGGCAACTTCAGAGGCAGGCAGACAAGTGTTTCCCAGCACTGTACATTTTTTTCCAGCTGCTTTTCCATTCTAATTTCGATTTGATGTTGACTTAACATCAAACGGTCCATCAGCAGTATCCCAATCAAATAAGTACTTAGAAGAAACAGCAAAATACAGTCACCGATTTCTCAACTTTTTCTCTACTTTTACATACTCTTTTTCCCTATGTTTGTCACTGGATTAAACTAATAGGTTTGAAAAATGCCAAAGAGCAATTTGTTTAAAATCTGTACCACTTCAGAAGTCTAATTAATAAGTATAAAACATTTTCCTTTACACATACTGTTAGTGAAATGGATGAAATATGTGTTTTCATTTCAGTTATTCTCAGACCCCCAAGCCATTCTGTAAAACAAACTTTAAATCTGACATATCATAAGCTCTTGTCTTTGTGGTCTAGCATGACATTTAGACTGAAGACCATTTCATCCACAATTCTGATAGGAATGCTTTTTGAATATAGTAAGTTTGAATAAAACCATGGCAAAAGTATTCTCAAAACGTGTCAGAAGGAACAATCAAAGAAAACAAAGGCAACAGTTCAAATCTGGTGCTGAAAGAATAAGCAATCTGCAGACTGAACTTAAGGAAGATGGGAGAGAAAAAACAAGCATCCTCAAACATCAGTAACTGAAGCTGCTCTTAAGCCAAAAGGCAAAATTTAGCCTCAAAAGGAAACACTTCTAATACAAAAGCATATTAAATTAAAGAAATCAGAGCAACACTGATTTTACTGTCTAAACAACGCACTAATCCAAGTACAAATAACTGTGTATTAAGCTTACACAAACTTCTACCTAAAGTATTTATTTTGGTACCCAAGTGGCTTCATTTTCTGAAATACTACACATACAAAGCCCAACTATTTTCATTTTTAAACCAAGACAACTAATATGGCAATTTATAAATATGACACAGGACCCACTACGTCCCACAAATAAACATCGCCATACAATTTTTTGTTAAATGAAGCACTTTGTTCAGTTAAAAGCAGGTGACAAAATGAACTATGCAGCCAGTGTTTCTTACTTGGGTTGTTTCCTGGATGAAAACTTCTTTTGAGGTAGGCACCGGGTAAGGCTTCAGGGCAGCTTTTATTGTTGCAAAAATGAAATCGGTGTGTTTCTTAATAACAGTATCCAGGTAGTCTCCTTCTGATCTGTAGTACACTGTAATCTCATCGGTAGGAACCAGGTTTCGCTGTAGGATACACCCAGTGCACCATTAATGACAGCAAGATGACTTTCACATACACAAACTAAAAGAACAATACTTATTAAGTTAAAAGAAAAAAATATTTTAGAAATGTATTTACCAGACATTTTTTAAGAGTTTCCACAAGAAAAATTAGAATAAAACAATTCTTTTGTCAGAAGGACAAGAAAGAGGCTTGAAACATGGAGAGTTTTTCTTCAAAAGATAATGACTGAAAAGCGCACCTTACTCTAAAAGTCTCACTTTCAAATTCATGTATCAACTCTCCCCCTCAGTGAGCTGAAAGCCCACCACATTTATTAACAAGCTTTTCCTGATGCACGAGAATTTTACTAGTGTTTACACATCCTGTCAGCCTGAAATTAAACCCTTGGCTCTTCACTGAACACTTGCTCAATCAGTGACATTTTCTTAACACCCAACAGTCTCCAAGACATTCTGGTATTGTTCTGGGAGGTGGTGACCAGACTTTGAAGTTTTCACACCAGTTCTGTCACATCTCATGTACTAACAATTAATTTGAATGGCATGCTTATTAATGCTGAATTATAGCAAAATTCAGTGAGAAATGGGTTTCAGGGAAAAAAAAAAAAAAAAACAAACAACAAAACAGCAGCACTAAGAAAACTTTATTTCTGAAACCTGCTAAAAATAATGATTGTCCTCATGCCATCTCAGCAATAGTTACTGTGGATGCGGAATCTGTTTGTGGTTATTTTATTACATGTACACTTTTATAAGAGGAGTGGGAATGAAAGAATGGCAGAATAAATGCACATTAGAATCATGTTCATTATTAGGCAAGATCAAGTATTTTGATCTTCACTGAAGTGTGAATAAATTATGACCTTATGTCATTACAGAAGTAAATTTATACCTTCTTTAACTTAAGAGTTTTAGTTTCATGGCCATATTACTTCATGTTTTTATTTTATACAGATATAAATGTTTATAATATTAAAATATATATGTAAAAATAACTGTTTTGGTACAAAATTGTCATTTTTCATGTATGTTTATAATGAAGATTGAGGCAGTCTAAACTGCACAGATATCTTTTCCCAAAAACATATCCCATTAACATTTTCTCTCTTCATCATTTAGAGCTCCTGCAAGACTTCTTAAGGTATAGCTCTGAAAAAGATATAAATTCTAGTGCACTGCCACCAAGTTAGTTGAGTAGGAAAATCCTACACGTATCACAGAACACCATGTTCCACGTGTGCGATGTGTCTGTGCAGGAGGGGAAAGGGGACTGTTTTGTTTTGTGGGCTTTTTTTTTTTTTAAACTTGCAGGTTCCAAAACCTTTAGAGTACTTTGTACCAAGTCAGGTATATAACCTAATGTCCTCTCCAGATTAAACGCTGTATAGATGTGTCATCACCACGGTGACCATGCTTTCTGGGCACAAAATGGAGACAGTGTGTGCAGCACCTTCTGGTTTAGTATTGTGGAGAGAAGACAGTTCCATGGGTTCAAAGTGCTTTACCACAAAGGTCTGACAGCATCATTTGTATGTATGATGAGAACAATTTAGAGCAGAATCATGAATGGAGGTACACAAATCAGTGCCAGAAATGCCTCCTGCAATTTGCTAAGACACAACTTTGGGTTTTTTAGCAGTCCAAGGCTCAGATATCTCAGCTCTCACCAGCCCAGCTGAGGTAACACACTGGAGCTGAGATGGAACAGAACATTGTACTTGGCAGGAGGCAGACACGCTGAGAGTTGCTTAACTGGGACTGAACCACTGATGTGAGGCTGAAGACAGAAAACAAGAGGGGCTCAGTAAAATAAATAAATAAATAAGCTAATTCACTATGGATGATGTATAGCAAGCTCATTGTTCAACTCTACTGACTTAGTAATAAGGATATTCAAAATTCAAATCATGATTTGTAATCTTTTGTGCCCAATCAGAAAGCTATGTATCAGGAATAAATGATACTGGGCTTCATGTTTAATTAAAAACATCAGTTTCTGCTGCATATTGCCCAAAGATTGCTTAAAAGTAAATGAAAATGTCTTGTTCCAAACCATTGCTTCCAACCTTTTTGCGAAGCTTCTGGATGCGATTAATCACTTCCCGGGCAACTCCTTCATCCACCATGGACTGGTCTGGTGTAACATCTAGCAGAACTAAAACCTGAGGTAACACACAGAAAACAGCTGAATAGCTGTCAAACTTGAAACAAGCTAGCAGTAATTCACTCAGAAGCTCAAGCACATTTTTCTGAGCTCCTCACTCACAAAATACCATGTTGAAGAGAGTACTTTAACACCTCCAGAATTCAGAAGATAAGCTCCTGGAATCTGTTGAACTTACTGAACAAACAAACCCACCCCAGCTTTCACCTCACCTTTTTCTTATTACTTCTAGAGGAAGTCTTCCCTTAATTTAATAATAAAAAAAGAAATAACCAATAAAATACCTGAGCATCAGAATGTGCCTCAAACTGAGCAGATCCTCCTGCAACCTGATCAAAGGTATACATGAGACGAAGATCTTCCGCATGGAGTTCGTGCCCTTCTACAACAATGGTGCCTGCAGAATTGGCAGATGAGGAGGATCTCTTACAATCAGAGTGAAAAAATTCAATTCAAAAAGTTTTAAACAAGTCTCAAACGTCAAATACATGAAATGCAGTCTATCTGCAGTACAGTTAAACAGCAGTTAAGCACTCGTAAGAAACACTGACCTACCCCACATTCAGATTTGTCATACAAGCACTTCTACAGGCAGCAGAACTCGCTCAAATGCAGTCACTTCAACAACTGTGTGTGATTTGAATGAAACAAAATAAAACTTAAAAATAACCTATATACTTAACTAAATCAAAATTTATATTTGAGCAGTTAACTAAACAGATGTAGCTGGAAAATTCAAACCCACTTATAAATCTGGAATTGAAGTAATGCTTTTAAAATAAAAACTCTTGCACATATACTCAGTTCAAATTTGATTCAGTCCTACAGAACAGCTTACACCATTTCATTTTGGTTCTTACAGTAGCACTTAAATGGGAGAACAGTGTAAGATTAGTACACATGGCCACTCCTCACCTACTGTCAGCAAAATAATAAAACCAACTTTTCTCCTATTCTTATTTACATAAAATTTAATAGGGATAACAGCAGTAGGCCTTACATCTCCCTAAGCCCACAGAAGGATACTTCTGCATCTGTTCCTGCAAATGTTTGATTAATACACACAAATCAAGAGCAATTGCTTGATTTGTTTCCTGATGAGCCACAGGATTTTGGATCTTCTTTTTCTGGTCAACACTGCCATCGTTCAGTGGTTTGTACCACTACATACCTGTCTCCTGGAATTCCTCCAGCTGCTCACTCTTCAGCTCTCTGATTGCAGCCATGACAAGCTTAAATGCACCTTTTAAGCGTTTCCCCAGCACCATGTGATCTGGTTCCGCTCTCAGCCGGACTCCATATTTATCTTTATTAGTAGATAATGTCACTTGACGTACATTAAGCTCCTATACAAATACACCAAGAGAAAAAAAACAAAGGTAAAGAACAACTATCTCTGACAACTGTGGAAAGGGTACAAGCCCACGGGCCACAGCACTAGGGAAGTCTGAAGTTTCATGCTGCAAATTTTATATATGGTTGAATCTATGAACTGAGTAACTTTTGAACACTGCAAAAGCAAATAAACCCAACCAATACCGAAACTATCCTTCAGCAGAAGATCCCATCCTCCTCTTCAACCTTCAGGTAGACATTTCTGTTTCTGATAGACACCAGTCAGTGCTCAACTCAAATCAGATCCCTATTCAACAACCTTTTTTACTTTACTGTTACAATTGCCTGAAGAGATAAAACTCTTCTCTTTGTGTGCAATGGCATTAGAAAATGCCCTGTCAAAATTCAGGAAGAAAAATTTTACTGAGAGTCCTTTCAGCATGCATTTAGCCGGGAAACTGTAACAGACAATTTGATGGTTTAGGTTGTACAAACACTACAGCCTCATTTTGTCTCTTTCCTTATCTTTTTATTCCAGGTCCTTAATGTACAGAAAACCACCTTGCTCAGAAAAACATCAGTCTATGCTCTGCAGCACAAGAACTCTGAAGAGTCGTGTGCAGGGGCAGCCAAAAAAAGCTTATAAAGCTTGTGTGAAGGCTGGAGGAGGAGGAGGCCCCAGACCAAGGCTGTTACTTGCTACTACAGAAACTTGAGTGTGCCCATGCTTTACGAGTAATGCATGCAGGTTTTGTCCCCAAATCTGAAGGGGAATATAATGGTGCTGTGGAAAGTTTTACAGAATAACTGATCAAGAGGACAGCGTTGCTGCCATATGGGGAAAGACCAAGGCTTTAGAGAGAAGAAAGTTGAAGGGAGATATGATTGAGGTTTAAAAAATTATGAAAGAGATGGGTAAGGAATGCAAAACTTATTCATTAAATCCTCAAACAACCCCTCAAGTAAGGGGGCATGCACTGGAAATAGCAGGAGATTGGTTTAAAACAGATAAGTAGTTAACCCTTGGAATGTAATGTCACCAGAGGAGGTAAGCAGGAGCGTACCACCAAGTTCCAAAAGGAATTAAACTCCTAACAGTAGGCACATGAAAAGATGTAAAAGGGAACAGGTAGGCATGTGCCCTGGAATATCTTTAATAAAATAGCTGCAGATGGCTGACTATGACAGGAGTCCACTGCAAGGAGTGGTCAGATGCTTGTGCTTTCTCTCAATGGACTCCACCATTGACAGCAAGATGTGCTAGATGAGCCACGTGTCTAAACTACCACGTCATTTCTTATGTTCCTAATTACAAATATTTTCCTCATCACACAAGCACGTTAAAAACCACCACTAAAAAAACCCAAAACCCACACACCCTGACTATCAGACAATGGCAAATTTGAAAATACACAGCAGACCTCTCTGCCCTACGCTTAATTCTGTCCAGCAAACAAATGCGTGACTCAATTTGTTAATAACACCAAGCAACAATGTCTTTGTATATCTCCTGTAAATAAGAGCACTGTTCCCCACTGTTCTTTTGTGTCTTCCAAGAGTCTGGTTTTTCACTGCTTTGTAAAGCCAAGTAATAAACACACACAAGGCAGGACCATAGCTAAATTCCCATTTTCACACAATCTCACACTCTATTCTTGGTGCAAGGTACCAGTGACAGATCTTGGAGAGTTTTAAATGCCAACATGCAACTCTTCTACAAGTACAAACCTGCACAGATCTGGAGCACATTTCACTATAATTTGGCAGGTTTTGTCTGTCAGACTGCCCAATACTTGAAGCATGTTGTGTTTAAATCTCCTAGATTTAAAGGTTGTTAGAGTTTACATCAACATGATAAAGAATCATCAAGTGCATTTGGCAAGCAAACTACTCCAAGTCGTTTAGGAAGCAGAAGTAAATGGTAGCGTCAGCGTGACAGGACTAGCAAGTAGCCACACATTTAGGCTGAGAAGGAATGCTTAGACACAACCTCTGAGCTACAGTCTAATTCCCTAGGAAGTCCTACTAACAAAGAGCCAAGAATACAACTGAATCTAATTGTATTTAATACATCTTTTAAAAAATCTAATTAAAATTAACTATTTCAGAAATCCACTTTTAATAGGATGCTGTTAGAAATGAGCCCAAAAATGGTAAATGATGACCTTGTGGGGGGAAAAAAAAATAATCCAAAAACCAGACAAATTACTTTGGGCCTGATTAGATAAATTCACAGAATCACAGAATGTCAGGGATTGGAAGGGACCTCAAAAGATCATCTAGTTCTATCCCCCTGCCAGAGCAGGAACACCTAGATGAGAAATTACATACAAGCCAACTCCACCAGGACAAGTTTTCTATACAAATTAGATTAGGAATACATCTTCTGTATACATTATCAATTAAAAATTACTCTTAAAAAAAAAAAAAAGCAACTCTGTGCCTTATGCCTGTTTATATCTGCCTCAATATAGTGCTTTGACTTTAAGCAGTTCTTAATTTTATCTGCCCAATAAATCAAAATTAGCTCCTTAACACATCTTTCAAGTCTCATACACACAAACAGAAGCAACCAGTTGCCAGTCAGAAGACCTGTATATTCAGGCATTCTTGGGTAGTTGTGTTACCGGTTGATCTGATCATGCCTGGCACATGGCACAATCAGATCAACCGGCAACACAACTACACCCAACTCTCAGAACAGAGAAAGAGAAATACCAGTGCTGGGCTCTCCAAGTAAGCATCCTAAAAATGAAAATAAATATTGATTATGGAATACCGTAAGAAACAAAATACTGAAGGACCACACACATCCCTTAATTCAGCCCATTCATGGATTCCATCTGTCACACTATGCAACACCTTTAATGTTATGAAATACTGGTAGACCTTGAATTTGAAGTCAATTTTCTGTTTTATTATAGCCATAAAAACAGATGGGAGTTGAAGGGTTGGATGCAAACAAGATTCTGGTTGTGCGTAGAATAAAATTTACGTGTAGAGAAAAACTGTCACTGGAAGTTTAGAGGGGAAGCCCTGAACTAGGCCAGTAAAGGGCTTCAAATACTAATGGATAAAATGCAACTCTGTTCTGTTGCTAAAAGCCTTCTGGATTTATTTCATTTTGTGAGCTTGGTCATTTTTGCACGACAACTCTACACTCTGGACAGTTCTAAAAGTCAAATCCATTTGTTTAAATTATTTGCTATGTTCTGATGACAGAGTAAGACTGCAGATCAAAGAATACAGCTACTTCTGGAAAAGTGATGAATGAGATTTTCAAAGAATTGACAAGTATATTTTTCAAATTCTTTTGTCAGCAGCTGCATTAAATCAAACGGTGTAATTTTTCTTACAGATTACCTCTGGCACCTGCAAATTTACTAAAAACACACTTCTGGCAATAACTAAAGGTTCTAAAGCTCTGAATATGCAGGAGGTTGATGAACAAAGCTGAAAATACAGCCCAAGTAATGCTACTCAGTCTGCCTGTATTCCTTGACCTCTTTAGCTCTGAACCATCCTAGTAAACAGCTAGATTGATTGCTGTGAAATACAATAAAACACATCCTAAGCGCTTCAGCATCAGCTTGCTGAATTTTAAGATACATAATAAAAACAGGACAACAGACACTATTTTGTATTTGTGCTTCCATAAAGGTATTTGAGTTTGTTGTAATTCATCTCCCCACAAGACAGACCTTAACTTTGTGGTAGCAAATGAATATAAATTAAAAGGTATTTTTGTACAATCCAATTGTGTAAAATTTATCAACTTGTTATGTTCCTTTGTTAGCTGTTACTTGCTGTAGAAGTTGACAACAAATTTTGTCAGGTATCTTTTTGGAAGTAATGTGAGTAAGCAAACCTCATCTCCCTTAAATATGGATTCTGTAAAAACCACAAATTCAGTTTTCAGATCAAGAAACTGTGATAGACACTAACCTGAATTTCACAAAATTCTGCTATTGAAAAGATCCAGGTATTGACATGTTTAATAATAATAATAATAATAATAATA